TATTATCGTTATAAAGATGACAAGTGTCACAGTTTGATCCATAAATGCCTGTTTGCTTGAGTATTGAAAATTATTTACTAAAAATTAACATTACAGTGGCAGCTGAAAGTAATGCATTAGGAAGTCAAATTTATTAATAAAACATAGTAAAAATATTTTCTTTCTATATCAAAGTTTTTGATTTTATTAAGAAATAATTTTTATATCAAAATAATTAATATAAATTTTAAACTTTAATATAGAGAAAATTTCAATTTTTACTATGTTATTAATAAATTTAACTTCCTAATGTATTATCTTCGGCTGCCACAGTAAATTATCGTGAATTGGTTATTCGGTTACCTTTCAGATGTGCACTGAACAATTTGCTTTTACACCAAATGGATTTTGGAAATCTTGAAATAATAGTTAAAGCTCGCTAAGTAATCGAAAACAAAAAAATTTTGCAATTGCCCATCTCATTTCTGAGTTTTATGCTATATAAAAAATTTATTTTTTGAGATTAAAGGTTGTTATAATTGTTACCGTAGTAACATAAGCCTGTGATCATGGATCCGAAAAAATTCTAATACATAGATATCGGTATACATGTAAAACGAAAATTTGAAACAAACCGGAATAAAATGGCATAAATCGGTATAAAAGGAAATTTTTATAATATGACCATTTAACTTCTAGGTGTTTACATGTATTGGCTATCTTATATAAAATCTTTATCATCACGATTTACCTAAATTTTACAAACTATCCTTACTTTCCGTGCGGACTGTGATTTGAATAACCAAAATATTATATTCAAAGTCTTAGGGGTTGCTTACTTCGGGCGCTTTACAAATGCTTAATCCCTATTGGTCAAAATGCCTAATTTGTTGCCGCGATTTGCGTAATAAAAAAATCCGGATTATCAATTTAAAAATCCGGTAACTTTGGGACGCTGATATCTCGACATCCAGCCGTCAAAATAAACCGTTCGATTCATATAGATTAGATTGATCGAATAGCTCTATTTTTGCTCAGATTGGACGGTTGGACGTCGAGATATCGCATCCCAACAGATTTATTTTTTTTGGAAAAATTGATTTTTAAAAAAGGGGTTGCTTATTCAACTTTTTCAAGACTTTGGACCAAAACAGAGGGGGTTGCCATAGTGGGTTGCTTATTTGCGGAAATTTACAGTAATTATAATCAATTGATTCTATCCGATTAAACAATTATGATTCAGGTCTTTACCTTTTCGTCCCATTTTTTTCGCATTTTTCTATTAGTCGATTCGGATCGTTAATACTTGAACCGAATATTTTTCTTCGCTATGGCTAGATCTAAGTAACGTGATTGCGGATCGAACAAAATCAAATAAATTCTATATAATTGGTAAATATTGTTTTATAATTCAAAAAGGCCATGCTTACTATTTTTATGCTTGAAACTACCTTTAGAACTAAAATATACATAGAAATATTTACACGTTCTCTAAATTTTTATTTTTGAAAATTAAAGAAATATATCACTGCATAAAATACCGTGGGTCACTGTATACAACACCCGAGGTCTTATTCATGAACTCCATTTTTAAATTAAATTGTTCCCGTCGATACTTTGTTTAGGACGAGTACTATATTCGGGAAAGTAATAAATAAATATAGGTTATACCCGTGTATTAATCAAAAAGTAAGCCAGCATGAGTGATGAAAAGTAACCCGGGTCTTAATCATGGGATGCTATTTTATGGGGATACCGTATACAGTCCACGGTACCTAGAGTCCAGGGAATGGAATCAAATCTGCTCTATCGTATTCTTCCGGAAGAGTAGCTACTTAACTGATACATTTTGGACTCCAAAATAGGGGTGATGCTCATTTATGAATAATTTCTTAAACAATAATTACCAATAAAATGACATCTTGTTATGTAGTGCTTATTCATGGATGATGCTTATTTCCGGAAGAATACGGTAATCGATTTCTTGAAAGTCGAATTCTAGATTCAACTCAAGCCGTCATATTCGAAAGTTCAAATATGTAAAATCGATCCTTATAAGAAAATCGGATATCGCGCTATTAAACCCAATAATGCAGAAAATTTATACAGAAACTAATTAAGGCGTTTCTTTTTTACGTTTTCCCGTATCATAGCCACTCAAACTGTCCTAAAAATAATTCGAAGAAGTCAAGCAAAAAAAATAACGTGTTATGAAATAAGAGGAAGAAGAAGGTTCTGATTATGTTTCTAATGACTAAGAATAAAATAATATAGATTCAAATGAAGAAATAGGTAATGAAGATCTTCGCATACCTTTCTTTGTCATATGTACTTTGAGCAGAAAATCAAAAACATTAATTCCAAATCTTTCTATTAAAATGCGTTTGTTTATTCAGTCAAAGCTTTTTAGCACATAGTCAGCAAATATTTATCGTGACGCATTCTCCTTACTTAAAACAACTACGTTACCTTTTTACATTAGTCGTCAAAGAAATGAATATGGTGCAAACGGCTTAGTCACATCAAATACTGCGCCATTGCTGAATTTTTTGAAGGGTTATCATTTCCAAATAAGTTATATGCAATGTTAAATTAAAATTTGTATAAACTAATAATTGATGAAATCCAGCCAACCAAAAATAATATTTCAGGTGCTGAAAATTTGGCTAATACTATTAAAACCTAACTACAAATAATTTTTATAAAACAAAGAACGAAATAAATACGAAATTTTAGAACATATCAAAGGCTATTTGCAAAATATTAATGTCTTTAGTCTGTTTGTACCATAATCGAATCTCATTTTGAGATCCAATTTTTATTCCATTTTCGGATCTTTTACGAAATACTCCATTAAATTTGCATAAGACCCGGTAATGTTCACGATTTCAAATGATTTTTGAGAAAGGTACGTTATGAGTGAGCTAGCTTGTAACGGATACTTTAGCCAGTATAAATAAATGTAGATATTTTAAAGACTTGCATGATCAATAACGAATTTGGATAAAACTAATAGAACGAATTGAGTGGCGACTTGCATAAATATAGTAAGACTGTGCAATAATAATCAATGGAATCAACCATTAAATCAAACCTCAAACAGGAATGTTACACATTTTCTAACAATAATCATCATAACTTAGATCGCACTATTTAAGGAAAAATTTCCACGCAGAAAATTGTCAATTGTTCGATTGCGTTTCTTGTCAAAATGCAGTTCCAAAGTAATCAAAAAAGTTTGTGAATCCCTCATCCTGCATGCCAGCAGCTGTACGATCTTGGTGTTGATATAAAAAAAGGAAAATTTAGATACCCGATAATGGGGGAATGCGGAATCAAAAATTGAGTATTTAAGAGACGCGTGGGTTCGCACCGTTTGCTTTGCTCGAAAACTAAAAGTTTATGAATAAAAAATAATATCTTTTTAAAAAACAAATTCTAATAAAAGTTTCTTAAACCCAATTGAATTAATAAAAGATTCGACAAATGCCAAAAATCAAATCTGGCAAAAGAGAGAACGTTTCTATCATTGCTCACCATCCACTTCCAATTCTTCCGGCGCTCACATCCGAGACTACAACTACAATGACGACCACGACAACATCCATTTTCACGGTCACTCCAGAACAACAGGCAACTATTGACCAAACGGTCAGCATCAGTCAAGAAACCATGTCTGAACACGACTTAAAAATGCTACGCGATCCTCCGTATAAATTAACGCTCTCTATAGATGAGCTTCTTGCGCCCGCCAAAAAAACGCGTAAAAATAAAAGACCAAAAGATTCGAATAGTCTAGAGAAACCACCTCGACCACAAAACGGATGGGTTATTTTTCGTAAAGATTACGAGGCAAAATTGCGTCTACTTAATCCAAATGCTACTTATAAAATCCAGGACATTTCCAAAGAATGCGGCGTTGAATGGAGATCACAACCCAGTGAAGTCAAGAAATACTTCGATCTTTTACAAAGGATCGCTTTCGAGAAACACAAGATCATGTATCCCAATTATAAATATAGTCCGAAGAAAAAAGAATCTAAATGCAAACAATTTGTATTTCGTGAACAGAAAAAATTTTCGGATGAAGATAATGATGAGCTATATGATGATGACGAAGATGAGGAGTATGAGGAAGATGATGAAAACAATAACAGTAACAATTTTGCGGTCTCAGATCTTTCTTCTATCAACGTTTCTTCTTCCTCTTCTTCTAATTCGACCACAATGAATTCACCTGCCGAGTCTAAGACCATTTTTGATTTCAATTTACCTCCACCGTCTCAATATACTCCAATTGACACCTCGTTTGCTAGACAATTGAACTTTCATTCAAATGAATTTATGCCATCTTCTCTTACTCAGCATCCGATGTCTATGCCAGAAGATTTATCCATGTATTATGATACATTGGCTGCATCTCTCTCTTCACTTTCATCTTCAAATGAATTTAGTTCCGACTACAATAATTTCGCTAATGGACTTGTAATTACCAGCACAACCAACAATGACCTTCAAGACTTTACTTTTGAGACTCTTACTCCTTCTATTTCACCTAATTATGCGATTAGTGAAGATGCTGGTACATCGATTGATACATTTAACGAGATTATCTCATTGGAGCAACTAGATTTTTCCCAGACAAATAATAATAACGATAATATTAATAATCATCATCAAATTCCCATTTTTAATGAATTCGAGGGTAATAACCTATTGGATTGTGCTGAAAATAATTATCTATTCGCTGAAACTAATAACAAAGAAATCATCGATAATAATATTGATATAACTCCCATAGACGAATTCGTTTTTGCGGATCCAAAAGAATCTTTTGAATCTAATAATAACACTACTGATATCAATAACGATCCAATTTTGGTCTCTTCACCAACAAATCCATTTACAATTATCACCACTACTACAAATACTCTAACTACTACCACGAATACTTCAATTGTTCCAACTACCTTAATTTCTTCGCCACCACCGCAATCTCTATTCATCCCCGAATATCTTAATTACGACTCTACATTTTCCGCGGGAGATTTGTCGAAAATTATGTTCGACGATTTGCTATTTGACGAATTTGCTAGTGATTTTTCGTAAATTTTCATTTTCTGACTTTTTTATACCCTTCCAAGATATGTTTAATAAACTTTCTCTCATGTCTAAGATTATATTTTATCATCCTTTTTTATGCGTCAAACATAACCTCATAAGAAATATTAAGACTATAATAATTGCATAACCAATACTTTAATATAATTATATAAGAACTTCAAAGAAAATTACACTTTCACGCGCAAATTATTCATTTAGTTCTCTCAATTAAATATGATAGTTAAAATTTGACGAATCAAGAAATAACAATTATGCATCTCTTAGTCTCTAAGTAACTATTACTTTTAAATTCCTCCTTGTTCATGTTTACGCTCTTAGAAATTTACATTTTTTGATATTCATGCTTATTTCTTTCAACTACTATTTGCTATTCAATTATTTATTCATTTAATTTATTATTTATTTTATTATGTAATAATATCATGTCTTCGATTACGAATACATGTATTCTACTCGGTGTAACACATGACAATAAATAATGAGACACGCGCGTTGTTACAACTCCGATGGGATCTGGTCATCCACGTGCTTAAATTGGCAATTATCATCCCATTGTAAAAATTATCAGATTTTGATTTCCTTTTAACGTTAAGAAATAGTAAAACAAATATGCGTGAACGTTTAATTAATTAACAAATTTGGTATGAAATCTAATCATTTTAAAACGACAATCTTCCTTCATGATGTAATGATGACTGACTCTGAAACAACAATTAAAATCCAATCTTCTGCCTATTAACACGTTCGACAACACCCACCAACACAACCACCAACGTCATCACCCACACGTACAGATGATCGAATTCGCGTTTAGTCCGACCGACCTGCGTGCCCGTGAACATTGTCACCCAAGCCAACACCAGAAAAATGTAGCCGAAAGCTCGATGGTACTTGTACAGTTTTTTGGCACGTAATGTCGACCCGAATACCAGACGAGGAAAAGTTGCAATCGCCAGACCGAATATTAGTTGTGTGGTTATTAGCAGGAGTAAGGATAGTCCGAATATCGCGTGCCATGATTGAACTTTTAGATGGTAGATAACAATGCTATGTAAATGCGCAGTTGTAAAATAAAATGCGATAAAAAAAAAAAGAGAAAAATACATCACTGTGTCGTTTATTACGAAGTGATTTGTTGTATACTGCTATTGTAAGTCCAAATATTCCGAGGATAGTTGCCACATACTGTAGAATTTGATGATAGTCTAATCCTCGTTTCTTTTCTTTTTGTTTTTGTGTTTTTTGTAAGACCAAAATACCTTTAATTCGTGGAATTATAAACCATATTATGTTATAATGCAGCATTGGAATATAAACATATTAATTTCATACATACCTTGAGTCAGTAAAAATACACTAGCAGACATAGAAATAGGATGCCACATAAACAAAGTGTAGTCCCCTTTAAGATTTACATACCAAACGAGACTAGTGAACAACAACGAGCCCAGCGTCGCAAGCCAATATGCGATAAAATCGAAGCAAAATTTCGTTCGTCCCATGGGTGTATTGATTTTTCCTTTGCTTTCTTCCGTAGTTTTTTTGTTGTTGTCATTATTGTTGTCACGATTTTTGTTGTTGTTTTTGCAGTGGTTGGTATTGGAAATGCTGGCGATACATGTAGTGGCGAGTTCTTCTTGTTTTTTAATTAATGGTGAGGTTTCTAATGATGATGTTGTTTCTATTGCTTCTATTGCTTCTATTTCTTTCATTTTTGACTACTATTGAAGTGTTATCTAAGTAATAATAAAATTAGTATTTAAAGGCTTGCTTCAAACGCGTTATTTTATTAACTTTATCATTTCTTTTAAAATGGGAAAAAAAATAAAAACGGAAATATCAGGAAATATCAGACAACCGATATCATTTATTAAGAGGTATACATTATTATTTGTTTCATATCGTGTATAACATATCGTATCGATATATCTATCAAGACAAATGAACAGCCCTTCCCACGTTGTATCACTACTTCACACAAAGCTCATGTATACATACCTAAATGACACAAGAAGCCGCTTTTTTTGGTCTTATTTAAACGTCGATAATGAAATAAAATAACAGAAAAGAAAAAAAAGTTGTTGGTAACGCAAAAAAATCTGATAACTTTTTATTTATTAAAAATCTGATAACTCTCTACATTTGATTCACGCATCATTGCCACATTTAGTTCTGATATCATCCCTGATACACCCGACAGAAGAATCTGATAACGAATAAATCTTAACGATAATAGAAAAAATGGGTTTAGTATTACCTAATCTATTATACCGTTGTGTTGTGTGGTTTTCTCAGACAAATGATCGAAAAATTCATAAAGTGGACGATTTTCTTTAAATGCGAACAATTCACTATTTCACTGTATTATTTTTAATAATTTAATTAATCAGAAAACTCAACATCTTCGGAAAAACCTAAATTGTTATAATTAAGATGTTAAAGTAGATTCTTCAAACAACAGGATTACCTGTAATTACAGTTCTTGTTTTGAAAATTTTTAAGTCGGAGTATTCAGGCTCTCTTCGCACACAAAATAATATAGTGTAAGGGGCTCAACCGGGAATTGAACCCGGGACCTCTCCGACCCGAACGGAGAATCATACTACTAGACCATTGAGCCATGATATTGACGTTGTTATCATTTTGACTATGATATCAGATTTCTTGTAATTAGTAGTTACACAAGCTCCGAAGAAACGAGAGAAAAAGGGGGAATTCCAGGTTGATGGGACTGCCCCCAATAAGGGAGATTTGTGTATCAATAATATTCTATAACCGAATTCTCTATGATAAGCACAACGCAGGATGCATCAGAATGGTGATGTTGATAATGATGACACTTGCATTAATAAATAAACCTAATTAAGCCAAGAAATAGTCTTTTATTTTCTTTATTTTCTCATTCGTAAAATTTGTGGGGGTGCTTAATAATTTGTCATATATAGTCCCTTTTCAAAGACTTTTATATATCTCTAACTTGAAGGGGAAAGAGGGAAAGAAGCATAAGAAAAATTTTTTCTTCGTGTCTACGTGCCTAACGAACTTTAAATTTTTTTGTTTCTGTTACTTCAACGAACTTTTTTACTTGTACAATAAATAATCTAATAAATAAGTTGAAAACAATGGAGACAAAGAATGACGCTAGCCAAGACTTATTGTTAAAGAAAGAAGAAAGAACAGAGGAGGACAACAGTGATAATACTGGCGTGTACGCAAAAAAAGGCACTAATCAAGAAAGATTGCTCAAGTCAGCAGAAACAGCAAAGGACGACAATGAAGTGGACAATGCAGTTGATGATAATGATGATGAGAATGATGATAATAATAAAAAGAAGAAGAATCGTAGTAGTAGTGATAATAATAATAAGAAGAAAAATAACAATTTTAGCCGTAGTAGCACTAGTAATAGCAATAAACTATCGCAAAATGTATATCAATCGCATCCTCATAACTCAGCGCCAATAGGTAGCCTATGGGGTCGTAACGACCAAGAAGCACCTTATACACCACCTTATAATAATAATAATAACGGCGGTGGCAACAGCAGCAACGCAAATAATAATTATGATGGATCTTATCGTGATTATCGTCCATCTTATGGACGACGTCACACTTATGATCGTTATGAACAAGATAAGACATTGGAAGATTATAAGAAGGGTGGTGACGAAATGACAGGTCATCAAAATGTCCGGGTAACTTATGGGAGCAAACCCCAAGGATACTATGACTATTATTATAATGGAGGTGGTGGTGGCGGTGGTGGTGGTGGTAGTGGGGCTGGTTCTAGTTACGGCTATGACTATGGTTATGGAGGATATAATAGTAATCAATATTACAATAATAATTATAATTATAATAATAATCAATATTATAATAGTAACTATCGATATTCAAATAAACATCGCTCGAAATCTCCCAGCTTTCTTGGTTCTTATCCAGTAGGAGGAGAGCATCCACAACGATCACAAGAAAAACCACCAACTCCGGAATTCATCACTACCACTGACACCGAAATTACAGCTACGCCATCAACCGAGCCCGAAACATCAGATCCAGCAAAATTAAATGAAAAGAATAAAGATGATGATGCAAAAGTTTCACCACCAATCATTAAAGCATTTCATACTGGAAAACCGAATGGCAAGAGATTGTTGTTGCGGTTTGTTCAGTTTCTTTCGAGTGCCGGCGCGTTTGGATTTATTGTGGGTGCTCCGATTGTATGTATATTCTTTATCTTATTCTTTGAGAAGATTTCTGTCATTGCATCCTCTAAGTTTCGAATCTTTTCTCTTTTAGTATTCTGGAGAAAGCACGCCTTTTAATGATAAATTTGCAGTTATTTGTCTATATATAATTTCAGTGGTTTCTGCGCTAACATCGCTGTATTTTCTAGCAATCTATTGTATTCGACGTTCTAACCGTGGTGATAAAATCAAACAATGGATATTACTAATAGTAGATCTATTTTTTGCGATAGTTTGGGGTGCGGATGTGATGATATTAATTGGAACTGATCATTGTAGCCCTGGTGATCATAATCATTGGTGAGTGAATTTAGCTTTATGACAATTCGTTCATTTCATTCATTCATTCATTTGTGTGTTTGTTTTTTTCTGCAGGTGTGATTTTTTTAACACTAGCATATTTTTCTCATGTGCGGCTTTCGCGTCATATCTGATCGCTTCTATATGGGACATTGCGGGATTTTGTTTTAAAAAAGCCATGGTCAATGATATTTGATTGTATATGTGTATTGTATAATAGTTATGGGGAATCGAGTTTTGGCTGAACATTTATTTTTCGATTCATTGGGTGGTGTAATTTGGTGATAATCAATTAAAAAATGTTTGTTTTTGTGTACTGTCACATTTATTTTGAGAAAAAAACTATCATTAGTAATAATTTATTTTATTAATAGATGATCATATTTTATTCATTTTAGTACATGTATATCCTTTAGTTTAATATTTTCCTATATACGTTACACGCAATTATTTTTTGAGTTCGGACTTTCCGCTGGGAACTTTTAATGTATGCTTAATATTTAAACCTGTTTTCACTTTCTTTGGAAATACAACTACTTTTTTTGGTACATGCATGAACACATTTTTACTCTGTGCAAATCGGAAGAGGGCGCATTGAATCCAATTAAAACCTTTATTTCACGTGAGTTAATTAAGAACCAGAAATTTACTCGTTTCACTGTAGAAAGTCATTAAAGGTTAAAATTAAAAATACATTCCAAAAAAATCAAAAAACCGGTTTTTTTGGTTGGACTAGTGTGTCTATATATATATATATGATGGTTATGTTTTGATCATGTTGTCCAAGAGAAATTTTTCTTTTATGCATGCATTTTTACTTTGTGCCTTTTAACCAAACACATTAAAAAGTAGGCGTTTTAATTTATAACGGACTTTAAAGTATATTCGTATTACATAACATAGCTAATGTCACTCAAGATTCGGTGAAATCAATAATTTAGGAAAGACGCTTATATAAAATATTATTATGTATGACAATGGACTTTATCTTTTAATTGATATAAAATGAGTTAAGATGAAATACGTTAGAGATTTTTTGTCTTCCATTTAATTATACTTTTTTAATGATTTATGAATTGTATATTAATTTTTTGATGATTAATTAATTGAATAAAAAATATAATAAAAATGGCAACGACAACGATCACAATTCCGCCCGCAGCAAACTTATCGTCCAAGCAAGAAACAGCATACGAACTTGACGAAAAAGAATCATCAGCACATGAACTTTCCGATAAAAAATCACCAGAACTTGCCGAAAAAGAATCATCAGCAAATGAACTTTCCGATAAAAAATCACCACCAGCATATACACAGCCCTCGGAGACCAATTTTTACGAAAAAACATGGAAGGAAAAGTTGGCTTTTATCTTTTCGTTAAGATTCATACTCATCTTACTACTCGGACAACTTCTTTCGTTCTGTATCACCTCGACATCTGTGAGCACACAAAAACTCTCGGAAGATTACAATGCGAACATTCCGACCACACAGAATTTGTTGAATTATATCCTGTTATGCGTGGCTTTTACCGGAATTACTATTTGGAAGTTGGGTTTTCGAGGTTGGGTTGATGTTGTTTTTACTAGAGGGTGGAAATGTAAGTTTGGCGTTTCTTTTTCGTCCATTTTCTCCCCGAGTTACACTTTGAAATTATAATTTGAATTGTACGATTACCGTGAAACGTCGTGCAAACTACCCCCGTATTATTCTCCAATGATTCAAACCTAGCTGATACACAGGGTAGCAATTGTAATATGCCCCATATAAAATATTCTTCTTCTCCTGACAATATACCCCGGGTATAAATTAAGTAGAATGTAAGAGACCCGGGATATTTTGCACGGCGTTTTATGGAGTTGAACATCAAAATTAGTTTGATAATTTTGACCGACATTATGATAAGAAACGCCGTCTAATACAATATTTTTCAACATTAGATTTTTTTTTAGGCTTAGTTGATGTAGAAGGAAACTACTTTGTAGTAAAAGCATACAATTACACTACACTCTTATCGGCATCGTTACTTGATGCCTGGTCAATTCCCGTAGTGGTTGCTTTATCACTCATTTTTCTTAAAGTGAGATATCATTTGTCGCAGTATGTTGGAGTTCTGGTGTGTTTGGCCGGACTGGCATTATTGGTGAAAACTGATTTGGATACTGGTCGAATTAATAACGATACCGAAGGAGGTAAAAAAAGATCGGATCATCGAAATTTTGATCGAATTTGATTTTTTGATCACTAGCTTATTCTTTATTTTCATTTATAGCGCCCAATATTGGAAAAGGAGATCTTTTCTGTATAATCGGTGCAACATGTTATGGGATGTCGAATGTCGGCGAAGAGTATTTCGTCAGAAAGTTTCCATTGTGGGAAGTTGTTGGACAAATGGGATTCTGGGGAACTATTATTACTGCCATTCAGTTGTATGTTGAAGTTTCTTTTTTTCTCTTTTTTACCGTTTTGTTAAACGTAGCTTAATTTATATTTGATTATTAGATCGATTCTAGAACGTCAAGAGTTGCATGATACTGATTGGAATAGCGGAATGGGTAAATTTATTATTCTAATTTTATTTCGTAGATCTATTAGTTCCGATTATTAATTTCGATACTCATAAACACAGTTGGTCTAATAATCGCATACTCGATTGCAATGTTCGTCTTATACTCGTTCACACCGCTACTTTTCCAACTTTCATCCGCGACATTCTTCAATCTCTCGTTATTGACCAGTGACTTCTATACGTTATTGATTGGATTACGAGTATTTAATTTACAGGTAAGCATTGTATTCTTAAAAATTCTGGCTTTATTGGAATATTTGAACTAAGTTTTTTTAATTTTTGATTGAAAGATGGCTCGTTTATACCCGGTCGCGTTCGTCACGACAATCCTCGGTTGTGTTATTTATTACGTGTACCCGGCGACACAACCTAGAATCATAAAAGAACCAGATTTGGAAATTGTGAATTCGCCGTCGGTTGAAAAGGATCGTGAAGTAGTATAGAATAGATTATATTATATCGTAAACAATTTACATACAAAGTCAAGAAAAAATGGTTACAAAAAAGAAGATTTAGAAGATTTACCATGGTAGTTATGATTACCCTCGTCACCTCTTTTTTATCGGCGGTGGTTGACTTTTAAACCATTTTCTAATTCTTCCGATTTCATATTTCTTAAATTTCACAATCCGGCTCGTAATATTTCACTTTTGGAAGGATAAACTCCTTTTTTATTTAATTTATTTATTCTTCAATTTTTCCATTGATTCAGCAAAGTCACTATAAAATAGTTAATAATATTAAGAAAATAACTTCATTGCTTCGTACTATATAAACCAAATAAAGTTAACTATTATTGAGCGTCGCCTGTAGGATTCGAACCTACGCGTCCAAAGGACAATGGCTTAGCAGGCCACCGCGTTAACCACTCCGCCAAAGCGACCTATTTTTGGAAATGCATCTAATTATTTATTAAAATTATATATAAACAAGTAACCAATCAAAATCGACAAATAAAAACGTAAACTTTTAAATTTTTATATATTTATTTTTACTAAATTAAACTATAAAAATCCAATAAATTATTTCAATTTAATATTCATCTGAATTTTAGATGATTTTAGACATTATGCATCATAACACAATAATAATTTTAATATATTTTACAGAGTATAAGTTAAACTTTAAATATTAAAATTTTCTAAAATTAAAAACTATGTACCGTAAAAATCCGAAAATAAGCTATCCCCATTTTCAGCTCAAATTCGGATGCAAAAAATAATATATAAACTTAATAAATTTGACCCCAAAAACAAACTACCCTTTTTTTCAAGACTAAATTTTTTTATAAAAAAGAGATAGCTTATTTTCAGCTTTCTACAGCATATATTATGAGATATAAAACCAATTTAAATTAAAATATAAACATAATTAATATTATATTAGAGAAATAATATATTATATATTATTCTTTTATTATTAGATTATTTCTTTTTTTCTTTCTTCAAATAAAGATATTTAAGATATGTAATTATAATATATTAATTTATATAGAATATTATTAATAATTTTTTTAGAATATTATATAATATTTATTATAATTCTTATAACAAGAATTAATTTTGAAATAAAATTAAAAATTCTAAATTTATATTAATTTTTAATTTATATACTAAATTGACAAATAAATACTAATAAGAAATTTCTTTATAAGCTATTATATAATAGCTAATATAACAAGATTAATAAATTTAAATATTATTTTTATTATAAATTGTATAAATTTAAAATAATTAAAAAAATAATTCATTTTTTATTTTTATATAATAGCTCTTAAAATTATAAAATTAAATAAAAATTTTTTATTAAAGCTTATAATTAATATTTTAATATATAGTAATGATCAAAAATATATATCAGAGACTAAATTTATTAATAAAATATAATGAAAATTTTCTCACTATATTAAAATTTATACTTTTATTAAGAAATAATTTTTATTTTTATATCAAAATAAAATTTATTAGTTGTAATTAATATATCTTTTTTTCAGATTTTTCAGATTTTTTCTGAAAGAGTTATTCTAATTATAAAGTCAATGAAAAAAATTTTATTAATTAAATTTCATTTTTTAATTAGTAAAAATTTTTATATTAACTTTACAATTAGAACAATTCTTTCAGAAAAATCTAAAAAATCTGAAAAAAATATATTAAATTATAAATTATTAATATAAAAATAAAAATAAATTTTTTAATAAAATTATTAAAATAATATAAGATTATTTATTTATAATTATAAATAAAATAAAATACAAAGTAAATAATTTTAATTTATAATATTTATTATTTTATTATTTAAATAATATTTAGATTTGAGGATAAATTTATAGAACAAAGTGATATATTTATATAAAATAAATAAATATAAAATATGAATAAATTAATAATTTAAAATATATATAGTTTTTAGTAAAAGTAATGATAATGAATGTTTTTATCTATATTTTAATAATAAAATAACCAAAACTTACGAAAATTTGTAAATATATATTCTTTAAAATATTACAAACAAGATTTTTTAATAGTATAAGACATATTAGCTTAATAAAATTTTGCAAAATTTTATATCAAATGTGATAAATTAGGAATTTATATGAAATAACTTAGAAAAAATATTATTTAAAAATATTTTTGTAAAAATATATTTTAAAATATAAATAATATATTTATAAGTTTTAAAAAAATTTTTTTATTACATATTTATTTAATAAATATCAGTTAAAAAAGATTTTATTTTGATTAATTTTATAGTAAAATATAGTAAAAACTATAATATATTATAAAATTTATCAAAATAAAGCCTTTTTTAATTGGTATTTATTAAATAAATATGTAATAAAAAATTTTTTAAACTTATAAATATATTATTTATATCTTAAATATATTTTTACAAAAATATTTTCAAAGTTACTTATTAAAAATATTTTTAAATAATTTTTTTTCAAAGTTATTTCATGTAAACATCTAATTCATCATATTTGACACAAAACTTCACAAAATTTTATTAAGCTAATATGTCTTGTACTATTAAAAAATCTTGTGCACAATATTCTAAAAAATATATTTATAAATTTTCATGAGTTTTGAATACTTTATTATTAAAATATAGATGAAAATACTTATTATTATTACTTTTATTAGAAACTATATGACTTTTACTTAAATAAATAAAATAATAAAGAAAATAATTAATTAAAAATAGAATTAATCTAAATTAATAATTAGATAGTATATAATAATTATTAATATAATAATATATATTAAATTAAGTTTAATTTAATATATAATAATTATTTATATATTCAGAGTAAAATTAATTTTAAAAAATAGTAATATAAAAGATAAAAATATAATATAAAAAATATAAAATAAAAATTTAAGCTAAAAAAAAATATAATTAATTAAAATTATTATATATTCTTCTACTTAAAATATAATATTTTTATTATATTTAAGTATATATATTTTCAAAAATATTAATCTTTTTTATAATATTTTTTAAGTTTTCAAGTAGTTTCAGATATTATTATGAATAGTAATAGATTTTATAACTATTATAATATGATAATATTCTATTTATTATAATATTATAACTCAAAATTATTAAGATTATAACTAGTTACAATTCAGTAATACTTATTTATTATAATATTATAATAGTTAAAAAGTTATTTTTAATTATAAAGAAAGTAATCTAGTTATTTAACAAGATATTAAAATTTATAATAATGAATTTTTTTATTAAGAATATAGTTAACTTTATATTCTTTTTTATTATTTAAAATAATAATAGCAGATAATAATAGATATCTATTGAATTTATCATCTGAGTTATATTTCTTTAATAATAAAATACAAAATATTAGATATAATTTTATATTAGCTAATAATTATAATTTGTAAGTAATAGAAGAGATTTTACTAATAATCTTATATGATTTACTGAATTTTGATATGAATTTCTTGATTATCTTTTGTTTATTTATAGAATTATCAATATTATAAGTAAAAAAAAGAACTTGATTTCTAATAGAAAATTCTTCATGTCTTTTATATTAATTTATATATTTACTCTATCTATCTTAAGCTTCTAAGAATAATTCTTTAATGGTCTTTATCATAGTATTTCAATACTCTATGAAGTCTTGAGAGATTATAATATTATTATTTGATGAGATGATGATGATTAGAATATGAAATGCTTATTCACAATCTAATTCAAATAGTAAGTATCTAGTAGAAGTATTTTTGCTATTATTATAGGCAAATTTGGCTGCTGCTAGATTTTCATTCCATCAGTCTTGTTTATATATTGCATAGATTCTAAAATTCTGTTCAGTCTTTCTATTTGACCATCTAACTGTGAGTGAAAGGCTGTTGACATTATCAATTTATATATTTTTTATTTTTATCAATTTAGAATTTAGAACAAATATGTAAAAAAAATGATTAAAAGTTTATTTTTATAACTAAAAATTTTAATTATATTTTTTGTCATTTATTGTATTATTTTTAATTACATTTATTTAATAATTATTTATTATATATTGTTAATATTAATATTTAATATAATATTAAAATACTAAAAGTAAAGATACTATATTAGTATTTTCATTATCCATTGTGATCGCGGAGAGATCTAATTTTAATTACCACAAAGTTATATACTAATTCGAATAGATTCAAAATGTATACTTACCATTGGATGTATAAATCTAACAACATGTGCACAAAGCTTTTATTATCCGAATATGATTGGTTTAAATGTATGTGATTTTATAGAGTCATTGTGATTTGTCTTCAAATTTACGTGCACTGCATATAATTAATTCAGCGTTAGCATTTAATTTACGTGCATTTAATTTCTGTTAGCATTTAATTTACGTGCATTTCTGTGCATTTCTTGGGATGATTGATACATAGTTAATCGGCATTCATGTTTTGTTAACATAAACATAAACGCCGATTAACTATGTATTTCTTTATTGCCCATCCCACTTTATTTTTTGTGAAGAGGCTTCTAAATCTATATAAATCCAGGGTTTTTGTATGTTTTCGCCATAAATTAAAAATAATCAACTCTTATAACATAATTATCTAAAAATGACTAATTACGAATATTTAACTGATTATGAAATACAGATTTTGCAACGATGCCCTTACCCATTAACTCTTTCAATTGACGAATTAACAAAGTCGTCTGTAAAAAAACGCGCTAATTTTGATAAACCACCACGTCCACAAAACAGATGGATAATTTTTCGAAGCGCATTTACGTTTAGATCAACATGTCAAATCAAAAGTCAAAGAAACAGCAAAGGGATGCAGTTTAAAGTGGCGAAAGTTATCAAGCGAAGCCAAATATTTTTTCAAAATATTGGAGAAAATAGCTTGTGAGAATCATAAGAATTTATATCCTAATTATAAGTATAAGCCAAAAA